ACCTGAACAAGTGGGCCTCCCGACCATGGCTCGTATCTAAAATCTGAGTGGACATCTGATCTTCAGGTTCAATCACCCTGTGCAGCAGGATACGGTCATACCTGCCTGGGCGTACAGCATTGATTTGCAAGTTGAGTGCTTCAATGTCTCTCGACGTAATGCTGACGACGTCTCACAGCGCAACACTTCGTTCGATCTCGAGATAGCGAAAGCACTTGCAACGTCGAGTATGCGAGTTTCAATTCCAGCGTGCTCTTGCAACTAACTCCCTTCTAGACACATCGGACTTGGAGATTGCTTCAACCTCGGTGATCTCACCAACCAACACGAGTACGCCCATAGCAGCTGAAGCAGCAGCGACAAACGAAAGTAATATTGCAAACGACCCAAGAGCTTGGATTATATCAGAACTGGTACTTGGGATAACACTTTTCGCCTCCCTCGTGGCGTGTGTTGTTTTCTGGGGCCGCCTCCGTAGATATCAAAGGAGTATCTTGCTTTATCGGAGGTATACCGACTCCATGTCCGGCTCAGATAAGGAGTTAATCCCCTTGTCCGAGTCGTTCACCTCGGACTCCGAACCACTCAAGCAACCTTACCACACACGACCGGAGCCGCTTTCTCGGCATCACGAGCCTGGCACGTCGACTATATCGATACCGAGCCAGATCGAAGTAAGTCGGTTGCGCATTCTTCTCCGTCCGATAAATTAACCTGCTCAAGTGCCCTTCGAGTACAACATCAGAGTTCCCACTTTCTCCTGCAGTGCAGTCCTCTACGTGCCAATTCTCTGACGAGACCCTCGATCTACAGCGACACGAGGCCAGAAATCGCGATCTAGAAAATTATGGTACTGCTTAAGCCACGCGGGATCGGATACAAAGATTCATGTAGACAGAGGACCTCACAGTCACCCCGAGAGATGGAACCCTATCCGTACTTTTGAATACAGTTGAAATTGGGTTGAAAGAAAAGTTTGGTTTCCGGTTCCCGATCCGCCTTTCGCTTATGACATTGGTAACCGAACGCGTCCGAGTCGCCCAAGCTTCGCCACAAGCCACCAGCCACGTCCATGTCCCAGGGCACGACTTCGATCCAGAATTTATCACCATATTCTACAACTTCTAAATCACGACTCCAAGCACTCTACTCTGATATTTCCCGACAAAAGGCCTCGAATCCAGCATCCTATCAATCCAGTATAGAATGGTGGTCCACAGCGCTTGAAGCCATCGTCTCCTCAGATCTACAACATACCCAGAACAAATTAATCCTCGCATGTAATCAGTCACTACTCGAACAACTTAGAATTCCAGGTGTTGGAAAGCCACTTGCCCTGGGCACCGTCGTCGTATGTTCGTCTCCAGCTTTTACTTGCCTTCGTTTAACCAACATTTTTGGTCAGCAAGACTGAACTTCAGTCAAGAAAGGTCTTGATACCACTGACCACCTTCTTGTCATCTCCAACTTCGATATACGATCCAGGTTGGCTCCCAGCCCGCATCGCTGCATACGTTGTGGGGAAGCCTCTTTGGTGGGCTCTGGAGCAGATCGGGATTGTGGGTGAAGATAGTTTACTTGGCGGATCTAGCCATGCTCACGCGAAGGATACGTCCTGGAGGGGTGATCATGTCTTTGTCCCTCCCGTCGAGCGTGCCGCAGAGGACATCCTGAGGCTACAAGAGGAGAAGGCTGGGGGTATCGGCGAACAACTCTACGACTTACCTAGCTTCAGGAAGCAATTCGGCAGCATACTTCAGGGCCCTGATGGTCTGATGAGCGAGTCGGATGCAAAAGTTTTGATCAGATTCTTGGAGCGCGATAAACGCGCCGTGATAACGGACAACGGTGTAAGTGGAACACCAATACGAAAGTGCAGTTCTTTACCTATCTCGCAGGTCATAAAGTTCACTCAGAGTCTTGCGGCCAACGATGCAAGAACAGTGACGACGGTAGACCGCGGCATAGTCGAAATGAAGTCCGCGATCGCAAATATGCAGCTCCAAGTTGAACGACTACAACAGCGGATCGACGAACTTACGAAGCAGGCCTCCGCGGCTCTCCAGCAGAAAAGGAAAGATACCGCACTGAACTATATCCGCACTCGCCAACAAGTTTCCGAGCTATTGGCCAAGCGACTTGGGTCCTTGCATAATCTGGAGTCTACTTTGCTCAGCATAGAAGGTGCTGCAGGAGATATAGAAGTAAGTCGATTTAGTTTGACGTTTCTCGTACTGACTGAGATTTGAAGGTCATGAAGTCTTATGTATCGTCAACGGCAACGTTGAAGGCTATTTTGTCCCACCCTTCGCTTCGGCGGGACAGTATCGATCAAACAATGGACGCTCTCGCAGAGGCTAATGCAGACGCAAAAGATATTGATGAAGTCATCCGAGCCGGCCACGCTACTGTTGATAACATAGATGACGATGTGCTTGAGGATGAACTGGCGTCAATATTGGCGGACATTGCCAACGGCGAAGTTGAGACAAAGTTGGGCAAAGTGAATGCACCCGCGAACATACCGATTGTTCAGACCGTAACGGAGAAGATCGCCATATCCACATGAATACTGGACATATATGCCTTGAGAGTCGCTATGACTCTGTATATAATTTGATCACGCTATAATACAATGTGCCGTTGGCTGGTAATGTACAGAGTGCCTCGCCTACTTGGACTCGCCCATGCCCATGGCGTTCTTAGCCTTATCCATGAGAGAATCCTAGAAGAAAGGACGAATATTAGAGGTGCGAAATAACATCACCAGGCTACTTGCCTGGTTGTGGTTCGAGTTACCGCTGACGGAGTCACCCATGCTCTGACCGGTGGACTTTTCGCTCTAGATCAAAGGTCAGAACGATGCATAAACCTTGAAGACGTGGAACGCATACGTTGGGCTGAACGGTGGAAGCGACAGAGTCAGCTTTGCCTTTGACGAAGTCGCCAGCGTGCTCCATGGTGGACTTCTGGGAGTCGGGCTACATCGTGCACAAAATCAACATTGGCAGCATGGCAATCGACGAGCGTGCATACCTTCACGGCAGAGGAGGCCTTGTCGGTGAAAGATTGACGGTTGGCGTCGGACATAATGAAGATATAAATTCTGGAGGGGCGTCAGCGAAGAGGAGAGAAGCCAGAGCGAATCGCTCACGGTTTGAGTTATGAATACAAGAGAAAGAAGGGGATGCAGTCTATGGGCATTTTCCTCGAGCTTATATGCGGTTTTTGGGATGACGTAGGGTGACGCTCGTGACGCTCGGAGGAGTAAATGACGCACTTGCAATGATCGTCGCTCCTGTCAGAGGAACGGATCGGAGAACATATGGCACCAAGAACATTCTACGCGGCCGACAAATCGGCCGGACTCGTTCCTTCCACTGTTACCAACGAACTGCGCAAGTCTCTCCTCCAGCCTCCGCCAAATAGGCACCAATAACTCGGTAGTGGTAACTTCCGGCCCGCCTGTCCTTCTTTGAATCTCTCGGTGAAAATGGCACCGTTAAGACTGCGACATCCAAACGGCACATCCACCATCCAAGTCGCCCTTGACAGTGACGACTTCACCGTCGGTGACTTGCAGCAAGAAATATACGGTATTACGCAGATTCTACCTTCCCAGCAAATCTGTACGAATCGCAATTACCTTGACCTGCATCATATCCATACGATTATCTTGCTGCAGTGAAATCTGGATACCCGCCGCAATCGTTGACCTTGATTCCGGAGCTCCCGATCTCCAGTCTAGGCTTGAAGAATGGCGAGCAGATCATCGTCAGTCAGGACACGAGTGCAGCTCGGCGGGCAGAGACCCGGGCTTCCGCCAGTACACGAGCACTTCCCGCGACTCGTTCAGAATTGCTCTCGCTTCTATCAGGGTCGACGGGAACAGGGGCCGTTGCTTCGACGACCCAGTCCTCCTCCACAGCGGGGGTGAATGGACCTGACTTCGTGGAGACAGATACTGGTTTCTTGATCCATAGAGTGCGTCATGATTACGTCCTGTTCGCCACTGGGTTCATACTACAACCCCTCTAGGTGGTCCCGGATGATAACTCGTGTTTGTTTTCGGCCGTTTCTCTTGTCTTCGAACAAGGAATAGAGAAAGCCCAGCAAATGCGTCAGAGTAGTTATTCATGCCATCTCCAACTTCGATACGTCATTCACGATTTCGATAGTCGTTGCGGAGGGGATAAAAAAGGACCCTGAAACATATAATGAAGCCATCCTTGGGTTCGTCTCATCATATCTGAAGGGGGGTTCTCCATTTCTGATCCATTCCCTAGGATGACGCCGTCCAAATACATCGAGACGATTACCAAACCTTCGACCTGGGGGGGCGCCATCGAACTTCAAATTCTTGCCAATCACTACCGCACAGAGATAGCCAGCATAGACGTAGAAACCGGTCGGGTCGACCACTTCTCTCCGCCAGGCGATTCGTCTACGAACAGGTGTATTCTCATCTATAGCGGCATCCACTACGATGCTGCAACCCTGGCCCCCACCGTAGATGCTCCTAATGATTGGCACGAATCAATATTCACTGTCGTGAGTCCCACCCGGGGTTTTCTAATGGCTCAGGACCGAATTCTAGAATACGTAGAGGGGAGAAGATAAAGTCGACCCTGTGATAAAGGCTGCAACGAAATTAGGTGGTCTGCTGCGCCAGAAGAAAGCCTTTACGAATACCTCAACTTTCGATTTGAAGTGCGAGGTAAGTAACGTTCCGTTCTGCCCGCTCTGCCGCTCGTGTTTCTAATTTCTATATTCAGCAATGCGGTAAAGGTCTCAAGGGGGAGAAGGAGGCTCGTGCCCATGCCGCAGCGACGGGTCATGTCAAATTTGGTGAATATTAATTGTTTATGTCAAATCTGTATTATATTTCGATATACAATGTATGCTTGTGGAATCTAGTTGAAGTGGGATGAAGTTGTTTCGAAATGGTGTAGGTACACTATCGATGGTTGGCGGGTGGGAACGAAAAATATAAAAAGCAATGGGGGCACCGCGGATTGAACGCGGGACCTCCAGAAGACCACCCTTGCGGATTGGCTTCAGTCTGTTGCTCTCCCAACTGAGCTATGCCCCCATGTGAAAGTACGACGACTACTCGCCTATTTCAAGCGTAGGTGATGTCAGTCCATAGCAAGTTAAGTTTATTACTATACTCATTGAAAGCTCTCTATCTCCATTACGAGGGGACAGTGATCTGACGCTCCGTATATCTCATCTCGGATTTCGCACTGCAAAGGCTGTTAACACGGGGTGGTTCAAAATCTGGGAATAAACACACCATCTTCACTTGATTAAGAAGTCTTTCGCTTATAACGACTGTAGCAGAAAATCATTCAGTCAACAAAACGTGGAATGATCGCTAACGACATACACATATCGAGCCGCCAGCCGAGTCCCTTGAGGCGACAGTTGAAACGATATGAAAAGTAGGTGTAATGACTGTCCGTAGGGTGGAGGTACCTCCAAACATCGATGAATTTGCCTGCGCTGGTATCGCTTTTGTCCGATTCCGACTCAGTTTCGCCCGTTAAAATTTTGCGAAAAGCTGTTGTTTCTGCTTCTGTATAGCCAGGGGTTTTGTTCCAATTCTTCTTCGCATTGGACAAGTCTAAGTACGATTTAGCATGGAGTTCAGCGCGTATGATAGGGTGGGAGGCACCTTTTTCAGTCGGCGCGACGTTCATATCACCGAGCCAAATGACAGGCTTCTTTTTATCCAGTTCGCGAATGTATTTCGTGAAATGGACATGCCACTCATTCTTCGCGTCGAGGGTCTAAAACTTTTCAGCAGGTTATTGAAGCTGTGTAGCGAAACACTAACCTTCAAGTCAGTGCCTGCGTTCACAACATAAGTCCCGATTACATAGACTTTTTCAAATTCAAGCGTAATGACACGCCCCTTCACTGTATCTGGGTGTGGATGTCCTGGGAGCGTTTTGTCAACAGATAGAGGTTTTATTTTCGATAGAATGGCGACGCCAGCTGAAAGAATTGACTTCATATACCTGATAGTTAAGATTTTCACACACCATAAGATTTCTTGCTGGAATGAGACCAATAGATATAAGGAAACCGCTGTTTGAGGGATGGATTCATCGGGTCGTCATTGAGCTAGCGCGAGCTTAGTTTCGCGTTTACTCATAAGAAACAATCGCAAGTACCTTTGTTTCGTTCAGGACCAATATGTCTGGGTCCTCTGCCTCGACATAGAATTTAAATCCCTAGTTGGCAGGCGCAGTTGTGAGACTACCAACGCGACGCGACAGGCCCAGGACAGAGAGAAAAAGGGCGTACCTTCTTCTGACTTGATGCATAACTACAGATATTCCATGTCGCAAGGCGCAGTGCTCCAGCGTGTCGAGCAGGAAACTCTATGTGGACTGGCAGTACCTTGTTGGTGGGCTGACTCGAAGCCGACAAGCTATCCGTAGTTGTATCGGTTTTAAGTTTCTTGGTGCTGCGTCGAGCCTGAGATTGTGATTTTGATTCATGCTCATCGTCTGTGTCCTCAGCCAACGTTCGTTTACTGGAGGAAGAACGCTTGATAGGCATGAAGGTTGAAAAGGTAACTGTCTAAGGGAATCAAAAGGCGCGAGAAATGTCTTTGCGTAATTATGGTCATGTGATGCAACGCGTCCTCTTCAACCGTCAGGGATGCTGGACCCACTGTGACCCACACCCCATTTATCCAGACAAAGCAGCCATTTGCTCTCACCCGGACAATTGCATTCCGTATCTTAATATCGGTGTTTCAACCTTTTCTCTTCCATTGCCACTGGAAGTGTTCATCTACATATCTCTACTTCCAACCGGATGCTAACCCACCGTGGGTTTTCTGCGTGGATTGTGGTCGATGGCGAGTCATTACCTGAATATCTAGTTGCAGTGGATGAAGATGCTCATCGGGTATCTTGCTGGGTCCCGAGTGAAGAGGGTCAGGTGTGTAGCATCGACTCTTCAATACGCTCAGCTTCACAAGGGATACGTCCAGACTTTTTCGGTCTACTGGAAGGACCATGGAGGAAAAGTGGATACTTGCGGGTATATCACTCTGGATGGTTTGGTAGTTCCGGGTCGATTCTTGTTTGGAGAAGGGACGGCCTTCAGGCAGGGTATTCGCTCGGGGAAGAATGCAGAGCGCCCGTTCTTGTTCAAGCGAACCGACGAGACAGGTACGAAAATGTCGACGATGAACACCAGTGGCACTCAATTACATCAAAGATGACGACTCACCTTCGGGGTCTGCTACGAAAGACTCGGGGATGGTTATTCTCAGAATCAAGAGAGTAAATCGGGTATCAGGGCATCAGCCGAATCCCATACCAGAGGAACCACAAAAACTATTGGGAAAGCGCAAAGCCGGGGATATTTGCGTTGGGTAAGTGGTCGCATTGATGCCAGTTTCGTGATAATAATGGTGTCGTACAGGTTCGGCGAGGAAATGCCAGCGTATGAACAATATACGTCGACATGGACAGTCAAACCTTACGGCGAAGACGATTCAGCTGGGTCGAAAACCCCCAGCACCTATGTCTCCTTCGTGTTTAGATACCGAACAAAAGGTTTGTGCCTTGAAAATATCTGAACCGTTGCTGACCACCAGTGCCAGAGTTTCTTGAGATGCAAGGCATTTTGACAGGAAAAAAGGAGACGCATTCTGTTGCACTTCACCGAGGACCAGCCCGTCGAGTAGCGAGCCTGCCCCTAAAAATGCCTTCGGGTTTTGGATCCCCGCCAAAGAAGAAACCAAAAATTGCGCCGAGTTCCGTACGATTGGTTCGTCCCACTTGGAATCGTACATACTTGCGTTAATATGTGATGCTAGAGTCCAAGCTGGCGGAGACGGTCTTCGATAGACATGAGGCGGTCTGTTAGTTGGAAGGTCATCCCAACCAACACACACGCTTTTCCAGGTCAGAGTATGATCTTGTTCGATTTGCCAAGTCAGTTGCAAGACGGAGTCTCGACACTTGACGACAGCCGATCGCACGATGAAGAAGGCCTCTGAATGGAAAGACCGGTGCGATTGTACGTTAGGCAGGATCAAAATAACAGATTCCCTTCTCGGGTCTTGTTGAAGTGAAAGAGCAGACTGGAGAATTGTAGTTCCAAGAGCATAGCAGTAGTGTTGATGGGCAACTGTTATTGGCAGCACGGAGCAAATGGAGACGCCAATTGGGGAAAAGCGTGATACAGCTTGTGTCCTGCTGTGGGGGCGCCCCAAGGTCGAGGAGTGGTTGAAGTCCATCTCGCCCGGATGATCGGCTATATACGGCTTCCAGATCAGGTGAACAATGCCATGTTTTGCTATGTTGAATTCAGACGACTCTGGCTTGACGAGCTTGGCTCGGGCCGAGTGTCCCCACATTATGCCCCAGTTCGAGGTTTTGCCCTCGTCCTCACTGGTTCTCCACGTCTGGCCCGGCGACTGGAACCTCCCAACCATCGACCCTTCGTGTCTTGCTGCAATCTTATATCTTCAATGCGTCGCCCCCGGTGCATTTTCCATTTCGACATGTACGAACCCAGACCTTTCTGCGAGTGGTAGGTACGTCGCTCGTTCGGTTGTTCAGGTGCTAAGACGCAATTATTATTTGCATAGGTCAACTACCCTTTCTAACACATGAGCAACATGTCACGTCACCTCTCCCTGCGATCATCAAATATGTGTCTGGTTTGAGGCGCCCAGCAAGCTCCACATTGGACCTTGATGCTCGGCTGAGCAATGCCCAACGAGCGCAAAGTACAGCCTGGTGCAACTATGTCGAATCTAATATTGGTGACCTGGTGGTGAGTGACAGAAATACCATTGCCTTGCCTTCTCTAACCCTCATATTGAAAGTACACCACGCTTTATTCCATCTCGTCGAATTGGGCGGAGCTCACGCATCCCACCCTAGTTTCTCTGTTTCCTATTCCACAGTGTTACTTTGTCCCAGGTCGTCTGCGGTCGTGCTATAAGCCACGCCTGGAATCCGCAGGGTTGTGGACACTCGCCCCTAGTGAATCAGAACCGAAAAAACCCTTTAGTCGCGGAGCTGACCCAGAAAATGAACCGAAGTCCAAGACCTTTTTACGTGCATATGAACGACAAAAGGTTGGTTCTTGTCCAATTCTCTATGAACCTGTCTGACGGAAATCAGGTTCTCGACAAGGCCCGTGACTCGTTGGGCATCTTTGACCGTCTACTTGGTGACAAGCCATATTTCTACCACGAAAAGTGCGTTCGAACATGCATACCTCAGGCCCATTCTGATATCTCTATTCATTCAGACCTACGACTCTGGACGTAGTTCTCGCTGCACATATTCTATTCCTTGTAAACCCAACATATCCTGACAGGTTCTTGCAAGACTACGTCATGGTGTCATATCCCTCACTTGTCGCTCATGCACAGAGAGTATATGGCGCTGCTATGAGTACCCCCCTTCCGGTTAGTACGCCAGTCCCATCAGGATATAACCTCTGGTCTCTCGTGCCCAAGTTCCCCATTGGCAATAAAAGTCGTCCTGCTCGGAACCAAGAAGATGTTCAGTTTGACCGCATTCGATGGGGCTTCTTTGGCCTAGCGATCGGGAGCGTTGTTGCATATTTTGCGACAGTCGGAAGTCCTATCCGACTCATTGTTGACGTGCCGAAGGGTGTCGCCCTCCCAGAATCGCAGGGACGAGAAAAGGAAACCGGGAAGGGGGCTAACACAGTAGGAGACAACAACGAATAATCTAGTGGTTTTTTTATTATAAAGTGCAAATTATGGATAGTAATTGTATCGGCTTGGTGTGACAGTAATAAAGCCAAAATTGATCACCACGTGGCTAATTGAGCGTTCTTCCCTCAGAGTCAGGGTCACGCTCATCCTCAGCACTACTCCCATGGACGAGGATCTAATCGTTGTTGACGACATTGAACCGCAAGCAGGTCCTTCAAGGCTTCCTCCACCCAAGTCTGCACCCGACCATGGAACCCCTCTACCCCGTTTGCGTAGCTCAAGCCAAACGCCAAATTATCGTGTACTTGATGGCTCAGAACGTACGACGCGCTCAGCGACCCAAAGGCCCAAAATTCAACCAAAAT